AAAAAAAAAAAAGAAAAAAAAACGGATAGCCTTTCGAAAAGAAGCGTATTTACAGAGGAGGGAAAATCTGTGCATTTGGAAAATGCTCGTTGGCAACGATTGAAAACATCGTAGCTGGAAATTGTGGCCGGTCAATCGGTTCGATCGTTTCTGCGCTCGTATGTGAATGCCTCGAATGTTTCCGTTTGAAAGTTGGAATTGACGAGGGGGGCTCGCGCGTGGGTCCGACTGCAAACGTGAAAGCGAGTGCGATCCGCGCAAAGTCCGAAAGGAGAACGGAATACGATCGACCGGATAAATGTTGAAGCACGTTCCCGCTTCCTGTTTGGTCCATTAGTTGCGCCACGAACTGCACAATCGGATCCAAGGATCGCGCCTCTGCGCAGCTTGGTCGCGTGCTCGTTTGAATCCACGCGAAGATTTCTCGACCTCTCACAGAGGGAAATCGCGACTGTGACTCGTTAATCGCGAACAAATGGGTGGCGTCTGTCGGATGAGCGTGAATTTACGAATTAAAGGATAAAGCAGAGTTATTCGAGTCAGGTTGGGCAACTTGACCGAATACCTGATTCCTAACGTAGCTAAAAAAGCTTTGTTTCGTATATTTGCAGTACGTCAAATTTCATTGTTCCGTGCAAAGCTTGAGATTGAAAGCTTAGATGACTCGAACGAATCTCACGTGAAGGAAACAGCACTGATAACAACACGTACAGACTTCCCTCCTTTGTATCGGTACAAAGTGCACCGATTTAATTGCGTGATCGAGGCACGTCTGTCGTTTCAGATAGATAGTTCATCGCCGCATTGAGGCATACTCTGTACTCGTTCCTTTTCAAACGAACGGTGACGTAACGAGCAGTGTCTTTGTCTGTGTGTCGGGACTCATCACAGTGGACGAAAGATGACGCAGTAATGAAAACGAGCTCGTTAGAACGTACAATGGAATGACGCAGAGCGGGTAAAATCGAACTTATATAATTTTCTTCCCGTTGGCGAGCGATAAACCATTTCGTTATCCCGGCTTGTTTCATTGAGACAATAACCAAGATATTTTGCATAGAATTCTCGTGGACGCGGAAAAAAGAAAAAAAAAAAAAAAGAAACCGGCGGGTATAATTTAAAAGGGTAATTTCACGACGGTCCTTTGTTTCGTTCGAATAAAATTATCTTCAATCTCTCGGTTATTAGCTCAACTGGTGGCAGACCCAATTTTTCATATCACTCCACGAAAGATAGAACGATCACCGCTAATTTCGGAACTCGGTCGTAGATATTTACGCGAGTCGTTATTTTCCCGAAAGAGAGAAAAAAAAAAAAAAAAAAGGAAACGAATTACCTTCATTTTCAGTTACTTCTCAAACGATTATGGCTGTTTCGCTTGTCGAGATGAACGTCGATGGAGCGTGTCGCGATTCGTACGTAACGTAACGTAACGTAAGAAACGTTTCACCTGGTCTTAAATTCCGCCTTAAATCCAGATAACTGGGCCGCGTTACGTGATTTTCCAAGGTACGCGGTTGGCAATGGCGGGGAGTTTGGTTCCCTCGCGCCCGTAACACACAGAAAACGAGCCGCCATTATTCACGTTATTGCGAGCAGGATGCTGGAACAGGCGACTCGTGGTCGTCGTTCCATATATTCCGTCGCCTGGCACGCTTCCCGAATATTCTGTACCCTGTGAAATAACACGGCCCCCGCCCGTGTGTCTCCGCAGCCAGATTAAAAGTCGTCCTGAATTTTCTACGTCCTCGGGCACAGACTTCCCGTAATCCTGTCCCGGCTGTCTGTAATCCACGCTCCTACGTGCAAATCCAAACAGAGATGGAAACAGGTGTGCAATTATCCGACGATGTTTATCCGCGGATTTTACAACGCCGATAGTAACGCTTGCTGTTTGGAATAGCCTCGGGGATCCGTTTACCTCCATC